GAGAATCAAGACCTGTCATGTAAAGGTACAAGATCCCAACAATGAATGTGACTGTACTGTATACCTAAAATGTACCAATAAACTCAATGAGAGAGAAAAAAATAATTCTGATGCTCTAATGCAGTACTTCTTAAACTTTAGCTATATCAAAATCTCCTGGAGGATATGTGAAAAGCCTAATTCCTAGGATTTACCTCTGAGAGTCTAAGATTTGGATTTCCCAAGCGTGGGTAAGATCTGGGAATTTTCATTTCTGACAAGCTCTTGGGTTATACTGGTGCTTCTGGTTCAAGGCCAGAATGTGAAAACCATTGGTCAAATGTTTATTTTGCCTCCTTATTACCTATTTCTGATCTAAGGTTATAGCCTTTCATTTGAACTCTTTAGCTTAGAGATAGAACTGGGGGGACTTATAGAGCTAATGTCACTTATTAATATCTAATTTTTGGTAACAAACACTGACTATCACTTTTTCCCCATAGCTACATGCTGCTGTCACCAAGATCCAGGTTCCAAGGCCTGGTTTTAATTACACGTTTGCCCACATATGTATCCTGAATAACGATAAGACTTGCATTGTGGATGATATAATACACGTCCTGGAAGAGCTAAAGAATGCTCGGGCCACCAACCGGACCAATTTTGCTATCACATACCCGATTACTCACTTAAAGGATGGGAGGGCCGTGTATAATGGGCACCAGCTTGGAGGAGTCACTGTGCACAGCAAAGATCGGGTGAAATCTGCAGAGGCCATTCAGCTCACCTACTACCTACAGTCAATCAACAGTCTCAATGACATGGTGGCTGAGAGGTGGGAGTCCAGCTTCTGCGACACTGTCAGACTGTTCCAGAAATCCAATGACCAAGTCAAAATATACCCTTACACATCCTCATCACTGAGGGAAGATTTCCAGAAGACCAGCCGTGTGTCAGAACGTTACCTGCTCACCAGCCTGATCCTGGTGGTCACCATGGCCATCCTCTGCTGCTCTATGCAGGACTGTGTCCGCAGCAAACCTTGGCTAGGCCTGCTTGGGTTGGTAACCATAAGTCTAGCCACTCTCACTGCAGCCGGAATCATCAATCTTACTGGTGGGAAGTACAATTCCACCTTTCTAGGAGTCCCATTCGTCATGCTAGGTAATTACTGTCTTTCATTTGTCTCTTTTCTTCTATTATGGTAGTAATTGGGTTCCTAAAAGGCCAGGGATACCAATCTAACAACTTTGTTCCACTTGTAGTGTCTTCATTTTGCCCAAATGTCCTGGGACCAGTTCTACAAAGTGCTGGTCATTGAAAAGAAGCAACCTAATCTGGTAAACATGCCAGAAATCCAAAGACTTGCATTCTAGTCGGAGTTCTCCATGAAGTAGCTATGTGTATTTAGCATGTATTAATCTCCTCTTAATTAATCCCAGTGTCTTAGCAGAGGCTGAGAGAAGGATTCACATTCAAGTAGTTTGTTTTGGACATGAACCCAGGAAGCACCAGTGAGGGAGTGAGGAAGTGAGAAAGGAAGCCAGACAGGTCCGAGTATGTTAATGATCAAGTAACTTCTGGGTACCTGTGGCGCAGGCCCATTGGAGACACTTCAGAGAACACACCTCAAGGGGGTCCTCCCTGAGGGACAGTGAAGCTGGGCTATTTACCCAGGAACCCTGTATGTGATATTTTGATGGCTTCTCCCTGGGGTAGTTAAGTCCTGAGTACTTCCAAGGAATACTGGGCACATTCCTGCATCTAGAGAAAGCCCCCAGCTGACTCTGTGGTAAGGAACATTCAATGAGCTCAAGAATGGTATATGAGCAGTCGTATGAGGTCATGTCTGCTACTCTCAGTTTCCTCACTGTATAGATAGGGCGGGCATGAATATCACTCAGAGACATCATAAGTATGTAAGAACTTTGAAAACAATATGTGGCACATCACTAGGATGCTTTTCTCCTCTGTTCTTGCTATGAGCTGAGGAGAATGTATTAAACTGTCGGTGATGCTATGTTCCCAGCATATTGGCTCTTGGAAGTACAGAAATTTCCTGACAGAGAGAACAGTCAGAACAAAGCCACAGTGGTCATTCCATTAGTTGCTCTGCCATCAGGTATTGAAGGTGACATATCCAGCAAGCCTGATGGCAAAATTCCTATGGGCCAAGGATTCAAGCAGTTAACTTTCCCCCTTTGGTGCGGCAACTTCTCATCAATTCCTTTAGCAAAATTAAAATGTCATTTGAAATGGGATATTAACATCATGAATGAAATGGCACTTTTTGTTGACTAGGAAATCACCACAGTTGAATTCATCACTATGCCTGATTTGGAGTAGTGGGAAAGAAAAGAATTTCTTCCAGAAATGTCAGCTGCATCATGGTTAAATAAGCAGGGCTGGTGAGGCTTCAAGGCCACAATTTACATTCTGACCTTGATGCACTGCAGCCTGCAAAACTTGAGACCTAGGCATAAACATGTACTAGTAGCTTTTGTTTTTGTTTTTGTTTTTTTTTTGTGGTACCGGGGATTGAACTCAGGTCCTTGCGCTTGTGAAGCAGGCCACCGAACCGCTGAGCTAAATCCCCGGCCCTACTAGTAGCTTTTGTGAAAGCTGGGGCACTGTAGGAAGACTGCTAGATCCATTCACTTGACATGCTGAAAACAACAAAGAAGGGAGCTGCTGTACTTCTTCCTAAGTTTCGACTGTTAAGAAGGTACCGTAACTTGTTTCTTTAAAATAGCCCCAAGACCGTGTATGCCAATTGTGGAATACAGGGCAGCTCCCTGAAGAGTGAGTCGGACCATTAGTATCTTCTGTGGAGACGTGAGTCAAGTTTTAAATTAGTAAGATGTTTTGCTCATGATTAGTCACATAGAGTGGTTTGGGTTTGTTTTGTTGTTGTTTAGCATTTTTAAAAGTATCCTTTGTTGTTTTTGCAGGAGGAAGATAAGGAGGAATAAGAAAAGGGTACAGAACTGGAGGGAGATAGTAAGGTTTTAAAGTGAAGGGAAAAAGATGTCAGAGCTAGAGAAAGGACTGTTGGTGCTGACCTTATTACATTCCACGGTTGTTATTGTCAGCAAGCTCAAAGCATGTCACTATATTTGAAGCTTCTCAAAAATTAATTGTACAAAATAGAATAAAGTGGCAATTTTGAGAGGTTCCTAAAATTTTTAAGTAAACTAAAATAGCGATGTTCAAAACTTAAGTTCACTAAGTAAAATGAAACTGAATATTCAAAACTTAAAAGTAACATTATAAAATAAAATAAATTACAAAGAATTTATACTTTTTAAAAGTAGTTTTAAATATTGTAAGTAAGTCAGTGCAAAACACTATGTAATATGTGAAACATCAATAGGAAGGTATTTTTTTCCTGTTCTTGCTATGACCTCTGAAGAATATTTAAAAGTGATAGTGATGGTGTGCTTCCAGTGTTTTAACTTTTGGGTGCGGCAGGAATTCCTGGACAGAACACTGGTCAACACAAAGCCACAGCTGCCATAACGTCAGTTGCTCTGTTTGGTGGTATTAATGCAGGGAAGGATCTAAAAGAGATGGAAATACACTATTAGCAGGGGAGTGTCTTTCCAAAAAAACAAATCCAGAAATAGTAATTCCACAACTCCACAAAGACTATCACTGAACTTTACGTCAGAGTTCAATTCAGAAAAAATCAGACATCTATAGTGAAAAAGAATAAGGACTGCAGGTGCCCAATACTCCCTTGTTTGCAATTTGTGAGGAATGTTTCATACATTGATTTGATAGCAGTTTTCCCTGCTGACAGTCAGTGTGCAACCTTTCTGTACACTTTCAGCCCAAAGAATTCTCCAATTATTTAATCACAACATGAAAAGAAGCTAAACATTTTAGTAGCTAAGGCCTATTTGCAATAAATACTTTGCACAATGTAATGGGTACTTAAATATGCTTGTGAAGCTACCAGTATCATGATTTAGGATGGTTGCTCTTATGAGTTTCTTACATAAATTCTTCATTCTTAGAGTAAGATTGTAAAATCAAATATAAGAAAGAGCAGGTTTGTAAATATTATATTCAAAGCCAGTGTTTAATTCTGCTTTTGTTGCTGACCAGTCTTTAAGATGCCAATAAGTATTTCAGTGACCAAAAAGAAATACAGTACTAAGGGTTTTATACTACAAGTCAATTAATTGTCTAATGCTTAAATTTGCCTGCACAAAACAAAATAGCTGTGCTTAATCTAAGCACATTTTAGTAAGACTTCTTCATTTAGTATGTTGCATAAATATAATATTAAATAAATGCAAATACATATAACTTCATTTGGAATAAAAAGTATCTGAGAAAAAGTCTCAAATACAGACACTTCCTTAACTATCAATAGGTCTATAGTGTGATAAATATGATAGATTTAAAATTCAATAAACTAAACATTCTCAGTATGATACTGGTCACATAAGGCCAGTTCCAGCCAAATGCCAAAATGGCAATAGATTTAGAATGGAAAAATTTTAAGACCATGTGTTTCAAGCAGTATTAACCTAACAAAATTCCAGAAGAGGAATGAATGTGAATAAACTCTGAGTGCTCACCATAATGGGATGTGATTGTATGTTTCTAGCCAAGATGATGCGTGACATCTGGCAATAAGAATATATCCTACACAGATGAATCATTTTAATAGTGATAGAAGCATAGATACATCATGATTTAGAATGTTTTTAATGTTAATAAAGTGTCATGCATATTAGACAATCCCACTTCTGCCAAAACCTCTGCCCAGATGAGTCAGATCAGTTTATTTAGAGCTAAAATCCTAAAAGTTCTGCAGTTTTGTAAATGCTCATTGATATTTTTTAGTTACTATAATTTGGAAAAGAGCTTATTTTGTCTACACCCCTTTTTATACATGAAATAAAATCCCTTCTTTCCAAACTATATTGAAATTAAGTAGTGAGGTACTAGAAGTGTCATTTGTAAACCTATGACATTCATCATTTTAATCTCTTATGGAATTCCCTTTATAGGAGGAGGATTTACACCATTGTTCTCCAGTTGACGTGATTTAACAAATTGGCCTGGGTTTTGTGTGTGCAAGCTCTTACAAAGCTTAATATTTCTACAGCTAGATTTCACAAATCTAGAAAGAAATGGAATGTTGGAAAATGTAGAAGGAAGACTTTCTTCTTTGTACATATAGAAAGTTTGTTGCTTCACGTATATTCAGTGCTTCTAAAAGGGGAGAACTGAAGTCACATTGATAGTATCTGTAGGGTAGTGTAACTTTGTAAGATATCAAGATACAAGAGCTCTGGAGATTAGATGAGATGAAAAATACTCTTCCAGCCCTATTTCAAATGCTTGGAAATTTTGAGGAAGTCCAATGTCAAATCCAAGGTGTCCCTTTCCTTCTGAGTTATCCAAGCAGGACATTCAGATTCAAGGATGAAAAAGGAAGAAAGGATATGGATTAAATGCTAGGAGGAGAATAAAAGCAGGTAAATTAGGGTTCTTTCTGCTGCATATTCTATTATTTGCATTTTTATCAGAAACCAGATTGGGTTTAATTCTCCAAGAATTTGTTTTCATATGATGCCACCTGAAATATGATGTAGTTTATGGAACTTATAAAAAGATGAGGCAAAAGTTCTGGTGCAATTCAAATGGAAAACTTGGAACTCTTAATTATTTTTATTTAAGTTGGAGCAAACATAAATGACTTTTTAATTTTCATGTACAGTATTCCTAAAATCATGAGAAATACGGTGGGGGGGTGAATAGCCAAATAATAAAGTTCAAGCAATATGAAATTGCCAAAGTCCAACCTTTTCTGACCTAGAAAATTGGTGCCAATACCCAGCCATTCTTGAACCACAAAAGTAGTAGTTTCATATGATTCAACATAATATATTATTGTAGAAATACATTATTTACAATAGTATGACAATCATGACAGAATAGAAATGTATTAGAGTGCTACAGAAATACTCAGCCTATATGTAAATCAGTAATACATTCAGTAGTTCCTAGAAGGGTTTTGTTGACATTTTTCCGATACATCTGGCTTAAATTAAGAGAGTAATTCCACACAATATTTTCAAGGTTTGTTTCCTAATCTTTGTAATGGCCCTTGGTTGTATGGGCTAATTTACAAGATTGTGTGATCT